TATATTAAATATATGTAATGCACAATCTGAAATCTCATGATTATAAGGTATTGCTGAAAAGTTCTCGGTTCGATCAAAAAGAGACTTTTTAAATATTCTTATGTGTGGTCATTGAGTCAAATTTTGGGAAGAGTGTCGTGTTGCGAAATTTTCAGCAAAGCCCTCGTAAGTGAAGACTTGGCTTGAAATCAAAAAATAACCTTACACTCTATATTGTATTTAACACTCTTGGGTCATTAATATTTGCTTTGAAGCAGTGGTTTCTATACGATTGAATTCGTGAGATAGTTTAAGTATTTTGTCGTAGAGCGAAACACGTGAGTCGTCTGCTGATACGAAAATGTCGTCTGACAATAACAAATAGAAAAATAATCCTCTTGGGAGTCGCTTGACTCCATCGAATATTAAATCACTGATCACCGCGTTGGTCATTGATTATTCATATAGAAGAGTCGACCTTCTTGTAAGTTTTTATTTATTTTTTTTACTGTGGCATCAAAGTAGATACCGAACGTTCTAAAAGTCACGAAGTGATTTTGGAATTATTTTATTCTATATTTACAAATTATATTAGCAAATAAAAAATATATCAAACTTTAACTTGGCAAAAAGTAATTAATTACAATATTGTTTTAATCATTTCACCACAAGCAAGTCAATAAAGTCACTAAAACGCAAAGGGGGTTACTGAGTGTGAAAGAATATAAGGAAAAGAAAACATTATTAAGAAGAGAGAGAGAAAACAATAAAAGAACAAAATTTAAGAAGACAGAAGATAACGATTGGCATTACATTTAACTTTTTGAAGATAAAATTTGACTGGAAAGCAAGGAGACGGAAGAGAGTCCCACAAGCGAAAAGTAGGAGAAAAGAAACTGTTAATATAGAACCTACGTTTAAATCTAGCCATTTCGACTTTAAAATGATGAGATCTTGACGCCAATCTTGTTCTGTGCTTAAATTCATAAAGTCTACGTAGCATAGAGGAGAATTCATCAGAACAATTACCATGAAAGTATTCATAGAAAAGACACAGGGTAGCTAAATTACGGCGGTGGGAAATCTGAAATATTATTAATCCTGACCTGGAAACTCGGTTGCAATTTCAGGACTAATAACATTTCAGATTTTTCTTCGGATTTTATTAAAGATCTCTAAATATATGGCAGAAGCACCAGACCATATATGGCACTTATATTATAAGCATGGACGAATGGTAGACTTATAGATATGTAAGATAGATTCTAGAGAGAAGAATTGACTAGCACGATACAGGTAACCAACATTCCTAACAACAAACCTAGCAATCGGTTTTGTTATTCACTTTTTAAGATCTATATTTGTCTTCGTGTTGATTTGTTAATAATAATAATAATAATAATAATAATAATAATAAAACAGCACGACACAGTGGGCCAATGTCTACACTGGAAAATCTGCAATGCTTACAGAAGGAAAACTGCAAGAAATTGGTATGAACACCACCCAGACCCGGTTATAGAGATGGGATCTGTAACAATTTATGGGATTTTACAATATACGGATTGATTGGAAAAGATTCCAATAGACTCGTTGAAGGAATCTCTGGTAGCCCATGCCTTAAAAAAATACAAAAAATTGTATTCACAAGTACAGCCCACACCTTACGAAGGGCTTTATCTATGTAAAATATGATTTTTTTTTTCCAAAACAGCTCAGTGGAAAATGTCATGATGCCATTTCTGACCTTAGGTCTCTGGTCGGGACCCGGAAAGAAATGAATATACACCAGAAACCGATGGAAATAAAACAACAACAACAACAACAACAACAATAATAATAATAATAATAATAACTAGTTTTAACCCATGAAAATTTCACGGTTTTTCCTATTTGAAATTTCTAAATTCTTCAGTTAATGATTTAAAACACATGGCGAATTCCAAGACAACAAAACATCCGTAGAAATCCCCTTATCACATCGTTAAATATTTGAGCTGATCAACTTGAACAAAATATTGCAATAACAATCATAAATATGAATGCTGGTCGTTATTTTAAGAAGTAAGGGGATACAAATGAAAAACATTTGAAATTGATAAGTTTGATTTTTGAAACAGAGGGTTAAACGCTTTTATCTGCCCTTCTTTCTTTCGTTTTCTGAATGAAAACAAGTAGCGTCTTTGTTGCTTTTTGTCTTCTCACGCGATCAGAACAGAATAGTCCATTATTTATGAGGTATTAGCAGGAGCCGTTAAACACTACTATCTATCTATCTATCTATCTATCTATCTATCTATCTTTTTGCACTGAAACCAAATAGAGTCTCTGATATGCCTTGTGTTTACATGTGATCAAAACGGAACACTCTATTATTTATAAAGTGTTGGCAGGGCGTAACGGTCGTGTGAACTAACGCAGGCAGGGTCAAGTACAATCATAATAGAATAATAATAATGAGAAAAAACTTCATAAATAATATAGGTAATAATAAACATTAAAATTAAATTAATGTACTTTTGGTTTGAATTTCTGGGATGACAAGTTATCATTATTTACACTATTTACATTAAAACTATTTTCCTCATCTTTGTTGTTGTTATCAAAACTATTCGGTCGTTGTGCCCTCCGGCCTTCATCAGGTGCATATTGATCCGTGGAACCTATAAGGAATTCCGGACTGAACCCTTTTAATTAATTTACGCGGGTAGACCCCGTTCCACTGCCTATGTCCCAGGATGTTCTTATTTTCAGTCCTGCTTAGTTATTTCTTGCCCTGTTTCCACTGAGTCCAAGTACACACTGCCCATCCCAGGGATTGAATTCACAATGATGTCACCAACGCTATTGTTCCGTAGCTTATCCGGATCTATATACACCTGATGAGGGCTGGAGAACACAACGACCGAAAAGTTATGATAACAGCAACAAAAATGAGGACAATAGTCTGAATGTAAATAGTGTAAATAATATACCTTTTTTATTAAATTGATATTTAGTTGGTATGTTTTAGTCGTAAGTCATCACGATTTTATTTATCAACTCATTTTTGAACCTACAGGTATTTATCGAACCTCCACCTGGATAGTCCCATCACCCCCTCTCCAGGTGTCGATATCGACTAATTTGGGAACCTCTTCTTTAGACGAATGCCTTTTAAACGTATGCTGAACATGATTTATACATAAATTCTTAATAAAATGCGTCTTTATATAATGACATATAAGAGGCTTAATCGACTGCTACTTTTCGTGTTCAATTCAAATGACAAGCGAATGCTAAGTGAACGGAATAGAGCAGGTTGAAACATGAAAAACACAGATGAGGTGATTGATGATAAATATGGGAAAAGGTCATTAAGTCCCACGTCTAACAGAATTTACCATTCTAAAACTCGATTAACACTATACATTTTTATTTTCACATCCCAAATGTCTTGCTTTTCTCATGTGTTTCATATACCCACCCCAACAAGACTTTAAGGAAAGTAAAAACAAAAAAATAACACTTATACATAGAATCAGAGACACATAATGAGGAAAGATGACTCGGAGAATTTGGCACTCACAAGACATATTGAAGGTAAGAGGGAAAAAAACAGCGATTAATCTACCTAAAAATTTATGCAAATGGATTGCAGATCAAGACGTGGGATGATGTGGGTGGTGTTGATAATTATCCGACCTCCCCCAACCCTGAACGTATTAAGATCACCTTTTTTATTAATTTTGCACTTCCGGCCGTTTAAATGATTTTCCGACCACACCCGTTGAAAATATCATGGAAGAAGCATATGAGCAACCAGGAAGGTTTGTAGGTAAATGGAAACAAAAAGGACACTTATAATTAAAATCAGAAAGAGACATATTAAATTTCTGGGACACAAAATGAGGAAAGAGGGTTTGGAGAATTTGAAACTCGCAGGACATATTGAAGGTAATAGGGGCAGGGGGAAACATCGAGTAATCCACAGATGGGTATAGAGCCAAGAAGCGACACTTTGATCCTCGTCAGTGTGCACAGATACTACACAGATCCGTGACAGAAGTGCCGATCCTTACGTAAATAACGTCTTTATTTTTTACCTGAAATTTGTATATTTATAAATTTAGAGAGTTCAACGTGATAATTGTTTAATAATAATAATACAAAGAAAATGACTATTGATTAGCCAGTGTAACTGTGGCAGAAAGTAAGCCTCCTGGGAACGGCAAGAATAATCCGAAAAGTGATGAGCACTTCGAAACAAAGGAAAATTGCATGATACCTAAGACTGCTGATTACGGCCTGCTATCCATGCATTAATTACCAGATATTAATATCTTAACTGAGACAATGGTAGTACATACCTTGTTTCCTGTTTAGGATTAGGTTTCCGGTTCCGTCTCCTAAAGTCTTCTCCATTTTTCTTTTCACTCCCCTTAATCCATTGCGTCTTATTGGCATTATCATCTTGCTGGGGGAGGATGATTTTAAAACTACTACTACTAATAATAATAATGATAATAATTATTATTATTGGTATAATAATAATAAAGAGTTAACAAAATATGCCATCATTTTAAAGGTTAAACTGGTATTATAAGATTTTGTTGAATATATCGTGGGGATAGATATTTTAGTTTTACTAATTAATAAATTTATCCCCAATGAGAATTACTACATATTAATATATTAATTGGAAAAATTATATTTAAAAACTCAAAAATGCGTAAACCTAATAATAGTAATGATATCAAAATATTTTGATTGATTCGTCTTCTACTGCTTATCAAGCTATTGCAGGTTATTTAAAGCCAGAAAATATTTTTAGATCGTAAGAATTTTGTTTTTGAGATAATAATGATTTAGTGATACAAGTATTACTAATTAGCCCATAGCTGCGGGAGAAGAGATGGATTCATACGTTTCCCAAGGGTATTTACGCAGAAGTGAATATAAGGAACACAACTGGAATTGGAACTCAGCTCTTCGATTAAAAATTCCGAGCCATTATTCATTACACCACCTTCACATTCAAGCTTACAGCAGCTGGTATTCCGAAGCGGTCACCTATTTAGGTACTGACCAGGCTCGACGTTGCTTAACTTCAGAGGTCGTACGGGAACCGGTATTTCAACATGATATATATAGCCCTGTCCCTTTTGACGCCATGGATAAACTAATAAAAATATAAGACACGACGGGACATGAAGTGGGGGATCGTTTTTCTATTGTTAATAGGTAATAAACTGATCCCCCAGAATGATTACATAATAATTATAAAAATGATTTAAAGACTCAAATGTGAAATAGTAATGACTAACAAAATATGCCGTCATTTTTTATGTAATGTGTAAACTAGAATTAACATAATGTTAGCTTTAATCAGAGTAAAAATTTCACTGTTTTCCTATTTGAAATTTCTGATGAATCTTAAATTTCAGTTAATGATTGAATAAGCACACGACGAGTTCTATAACAATAAAATATCCATAAAAATTTCCCTATCGTTAAATATTTAATATTAACAACTTTAACAAAATATCGCAATAGCAATAATAAATATCTTAAGAAGTAAGGGGATACAAATGAAAACATTTGAAATTGACTACTTTTTCCATTTCACTGAAACAAACATTAATAAATACTTCTATATTTCCTTCTTTCATTTTCTGACTGAAACCATGTAGCGCCTTTGATATGTATTTTATCTTCTCACGCGATCATAACGGAATAGTCCATTATTTATGAGGTATTGGCAGGAGACGTTGAAGACTTCTTTATTTATTTTTTAACTGAAACCAAGCATCTCTTATATGTCTTGTATTTCCGCATAATCAAAACGGAATAGTCCATTATTTATGAGGTATTGGCAGTGTGTAACTGTCGTGCGAACAAACGAAGGAAAGAACAAACACAATTATTATATGATTCTACTGGACATGAAGTGGGGTACCGGTTTTTTATATTTATGAAGTAATACAATGAATGACCACGAGAAATACTATATATTAATAATTAGAAAATATATTTAAAGATTTAAATGTGAAAACATTTTTAAAATAGTAAAATATGCCGTCATTTTTAACGGTAAGGGTAAACAACAAACGTGCTTCGTGCTAATGTCCCAGGATAAGTGTGAATATCTATCGTTCGGTCATTTTTTTCCCCTTTTATTGACCGGTAGTTTCTTTGACAGGTGTCCAAGGTTTTTGTCGAAATCAATAAGAACGCGCCCAGATATTTAAGAAAGAAAGAAAAAAACAGTGATTGTTAACAAGTATATCGCATTGGTCTATGAATTTAAGCCGAGGAATTTTGATCAAGTGTATATTTCGAAATGTATATCTGATTAAAATAAACGCTTAACATTGGCGCAGGTGGTAGCGGCTCGTAAAAGTGACTCAAATTAAAGTGATATTAATGATGTCTTATGGGAAAAGAATGAATTCAACTAGTTCTGAATGTCGTATCATAAGTCTTTTGCCTATTGTTTTGCGTGATTCTGTTGAAAGCAGCTAAAAAAAGTAACTGTAGCATTTACTCTACATACGTTCTTCGTTATAAAATATGAAATTCCCTAAAGTGAAACTTATAACCAGTGCGGGAAGAACTGCTCTCTCTCTCTCTCTCTCTCTGTCTCCCCCCCCTCTCTCTCTGTCCTATTCGTTTGTCTGTCTTTTTCTTTTCTGTCTTAATTGTTTCTCAATCAATGAGATGTTGATACAATTAAAAATTAATAAATTTTCTCGTCTTTGCTATCTTTACCATAAATTTACAAGCGTTGAAACTTATCGTCTTTTCTCTCCCGAAATGTTACAAAAAATAATCGCATTTAGCTGGGGATTTTATGCAACCATCCAGGTTGAATTTTATGTTATTTCTTTGGCTTAATTTCTTGTTCTGTTGCTTTGGGTTCTTTTCTGAAAGATTGGTTATGTTTTCCTGAAATAACTTGTTGTGTTCTTGTGAGTTTTAAGTTTTTTTTTCTTTTCTTTTTTTAATCGAGTTCGCTCCAAACAAGGCAGTAAAGACACAATGGTTTACTGGGCGTGGAAGAATTAGGAATATAAACATCAATAATGAGCGAGAACAAAAAAGAGAATAATAGGCAGCGATTGACATTGCATTTACATTTTTAAAGATCAAACTTGACTGGAAAGCATGAAACCGGGGGAGGGGGAGTTCCAGAAGCGAAAAGTGCGATAAAAGAAACTGTTAGCATAGAACTGACGGTTACATCTAGCCAACTCAACTGTGAATTGATGAGAACTCGACGCCAGTCTAGTAATGCGCTTAAATAAAAAAAAAAGTCTAGGTACCAAAGTGAAGAGCTCATCCGAACAATTACCATGAAATTATTTATAGAAAAGACACAGAGAAGAAACCTTACAGAGGGGAAAAGTGACTGAAGCCGAGACGCCATATCAGGACCAATAATATTGCTGATTCTTATATTGATTTTATCAAGGAGCTCTATATATATAGCAGGAGCACCAGACCATATGTGGCAGCAATATTCTAAGCATATACGAATGGTATGATAGTTTATGGTGAGAAAAATTGTTTCGCGTGGCACAGTGAACCAACTTTCTTAGTAGCTGACCTAGCAATGGATTCAATATAGTTTTTCCATTTCATGTCAGCTGAGAAGGTAAACCCAAGAAAGCGCAAGTGTTACTTTCCTGGAGATTAGTTTCAGCCATGAAAGAAGTCAGAGAGAGAGATCTCAGATGATTAACCCTAGAACACTAACCATAGGTATAATATACCCAGCGCAAATTTTCCTATTTTTAATTACAATTTTCAGTACCTGATTTTCTTAACTAAATAATGTTTTTCAGTTCCTATTAATGTTAACAAAGTAGAAAGTTTGAAGTGCCTGCATGTAAAATATTTCAAATAAAGATTTATATTTAATATATATTTTTTTTTTTTTGATATTTTCAAAATCGGGTATGATATACCCATGGTTAGTAATGGTGTAACTTTAATTGATGGTTAGTGTTCTAGGATTAACGGAAAGCAGTGTCTTTACCGATTTGGCCACAGAGGAGCGTTCGGTTAGCAAGGTCGAATTTTGTTTACATTTGATACACCATGAGCAGATATGAATGTACGTGAGAGATTCATAGAAGATTGAAGTTCAAATACAGTAAATTCGACCTCGCTAACCGAACGCTCCTCTGTGGCCAAATCGGTAAAAACACGTCAAGCTAAATGATACAAGTTCCATATAGGAGGACGAATATTTTCTGTGAAAATTTCTCGGACATTCAAATGCCGGTAAATGTTGTTTAATACTGTTTATTATTAAAAGATTATTTACTTAAATATTTGTATCTATAAAAAAAAATGTATAAACATAAAAATGTCTTAAAATAATTGTCATAATATATATATTCAAAGGTAATGAGGACGAAAACAATACAAAATTCATACGTTCATAGCATTAATTTAAAAGAGGACTTAATACCAAGAGTAGAGCAATGGTTATTTATTATAAAGATGTTACATACAGACAAACAAGAACTCACGACAAAGATGCATTTTTGTTTCGATGTGAATGCATCACGACAGGCGAGGAACAAAAAATGACATTTTTGTCGTGAGTAATTGTTTGTCCGTATGACATCTTTATAATATATATATATATATATATATATATATATATATATATATATATATATATATATATCCAAAATGCATGTTTGATTAAAAAAACCAACAAGGTCTGTCTATCTTAATTTTTATTGTATTTTCCAATTTCCGAATAAGGTGTTTAAGTTAAATATTGTGCTCGAAGTTGTTATTGTTTTATTCAAAGTACTTTTTACTTTTTGAAAATCATTATCAAGAATCAACGTGGTGTTTGTGTGGTAGTTAGAATTCCTTTGCTTGCATTCTGGTATTCTTACGAAAGCTGTACATTTGAAATTGTCTAGCGTGACGTCGTGTCACGGCTATTGGAAATGTGACTGCACAAAATGAATGTGATTTATTTATTAATTTAATTTTTATTTGATTATTATTTATTAGTTACGATAAAATTAATGGTAAGTTTATTTTTGTTTGCGTCAGAGAGGGGCCTAGCGTCATTTTTTCCAAATTTTCATTCTCTCTCTCTCTCTCTCTCTCTATATATATATATATATATATATATATATATATATATATTATATAAATTTTTTGTGGATCAAAGAACTAGGAATATTCTCCGTTCCCATCTTCTTCTAGACACCATTCGTCACCCAAGACATTTTTTGTTCGAAAAATTTGTTCGTGAACCGATTTGTTCGTAATGAAAGGCGTTCGTGACCCGAGGTTACACTGTGTGATATATATATATATATATATATATATATATATATATATATATATGATATATACATTTTTATATATCAAGAACAATATTTGGGAAAATGTATGACAAAATGTAAAAAGTTTTCGCGTGACGCGTTCCGTTCTTTAGAAATTCATCGGACGAAATTTGTTTTGTTGGTGCGACTACACAATTTTTAATTTGCTTTTTTTATGTAGCCGATTTCATTTAGATTAATTTTCTATTTCTTTTTTGTTTCCATCACTTTTGTTAGTAGATATCACAGTGTGGGATTTCTGCTATGCACCCAGGCCTCTCCAGTTGTTCAGGGTGATTTTAGTAATACGCAACAGGAGTTGGGTATAACAGCGTCACATTTATTTCTATCTAATTCTACTATTTCTCTCTATGTCTGTCCGTCTCTCTCTCTTCTCTCTCTCTCTCTCTCTCTCTTTATATATATATATATATATATATATATATATATATATATAAACAAATATGTATATAAATAAATAAATAAATAAATATATATAAATATAATATATATATATATATATATATATATTCTTATATATAATATATATATATATATATATATATATATATATATATGGTAAAGGGATATATATATATATATATATATATATATATATATATATATATATATATATATATATATATATATATATATTTAAATATATATTTTATATTTATATTTATTTAAATATATATATATATAAACTATATTATAAACTAATTGATTTAAAATATGGTTTTTTTCGCTCCAAATCAAATAAAAATATCTATAAGAA